GCTCAATCCAGCTAGACAACCCCACAGCCGATCTATGCACACCACAGAGCCATGTAAACACAATGGCTCAATCCAGCTAGACAACCCCACAACCGATCTATGCACATCACAGAGCCATGTAAACACAATGGCTCAATCCAGCTAGACAACCCCACAGCCGATCTATGCACACCACAGAGCCATGTAAACACAATGGCTCAATCCAGCTAGACAACCCCACAACCGATCTATGCACATCACAGAGCCATGTAAACACAATGGCTCAATCCAGCTAGACAACCCCACAGCCGATCTATGCACACCACAGAGCCATGTAAACACAATGGCTCAATCCAGCTAGACAACCCCACAACCGATCTATGCACACCACAGAGCCATGTAAACACAATGGCGCAATCCAGCTAGACAACCCCACAACCGATCTATGCACACCACAGAGCCATGTAAACACAATGGCTCAATCCAGCTAGACAACCCCACAGCCGATATATGCACACCACAGAGCCATGTAAACACAATGGCTCAATCCAGCTAGACAACCCCACAACCGATCTATGCACACCACAGAGCCATGTAAACACAATGGCTCAATCCAGCTAGACAACCCCACAGCCGATATATGCACACCACAGAGCCATGTAAACACAATGGCTCAATCCAGCTAGACAACCCCACAGCCGATCTATGCACACCACAGAGCCATGTAAACACAATGGCTCAATCCAGCTAGACAACCCCACAACCGATCTATGCACACCACAGTGCCATGTAAACACAATGGCTCAATCCAGCTAGACAACCCCACAACCGATCTATACACATCACAGAACCATGTAAACACAATGGCTCAATCCAGCTAGACAACCCCACAACCGATCCATACACATCACAGTGCCATGTAAACAGAATGGCTCAATCCAGCTAGACAACCCCACAACCGATCCATTTCCATCACAGAACCATGTAAACACAATGGCTTAATCCAGCTAGAGAACCCCACAACCGATCTATTCACATCACAGAGCCATGTAAACAGAATGGCTCAATCCAGCTAGACAACCCCACAACCGATCCATTTCCATCACAGAACCATGTAAACACAATGGCTTAATCCAGCTAGAGAACCCCACAACCTATCTATACAAACCACATAACCATGTAAACACAATGGCTCAATCCAGCAAGACAACCCCACAACCGATCTATACACATCACAGTGCCATGTAAACACAATGACTCAATCCAGCTAGAAAACCCCACAACCGATCTGTACACATCACAGAACCATGTAAACACAATGGCTCAATCCAGCTAGACAACCCCACAACCAATATTAACAAACAACAGAGCCACAGAAACAACGTGGTTCATTTCAGTTAGACAACCCCAAACCATTAAATACACTCCACATATATATTTGTTTTGAATAATATTTTTTCAAAGAGGTTTTACTCTAGAAACGAGAATGGTGACCCCTAATTCTAATTTCATTTTTAAAATCGCCTTACCTGAATGCACTAGAACATTTTAATTATGTCATGTGGTGGAATGTATGCCGATAAATTAATATATATTTTATGTATTTTATGTATGTATATCTATATTGTTGACAATTATACGAATATGTTTGACAGGATTCCATACCAAATTCAGTGTGTATAACATTTACTATAATATTTACATTTCACATTTATGAGATTAGTTAATTGTATGAACAAGATGAGTCTTTATTGAATCATCTGTTTGTATATCTGACGTAACCATGCCAATCTCGACGCTTGCCAGAGATCGCGAAGCTTATGTCCACAACACGGTGGGATGGCCAATTCAGGAATGGAACCAGTTTAAACATGCAGTTTCTCACACTTGACAATGTATTGGGGCGACACAGATGCTATGTTGATGAATCAAAATTTTAGACCTCCAGGTGTCTGGGGAGAGCCTGACCTCATCCTCAACCATTTGGACTAAAACTTTCATTTGAATCATCAAGAAATGAAATAGAAAATAACGAATCTACAAACAAAGCTTCTCCTGGGCATACAAATTATTCACCAAGCAACTAAACTGACGTCCAAAAGAAACTTTACCAGAGTTTGAAATCACTCTTGCGCAAAAACAACAAAACATACATGCATGAAGTAAAGTGTATTGAGAAGATCAATATATCAACATAATCAACACTGAAAATGACAATCATACCGCTACCGAGAATGACGTCAGAGCCCCCCAAAGTTGGGTGTGGTACAAAACTCGAGCTTTCAGAATCATGGACAATAGGCAGAGGATATAAACAATCGCTCACGTTCAATAACAAGTCATTTGTAGCGTGTGTGACCACCAAATGCCTCAATACACGCAAAAACTCTTCGACACAGAAAAAGTCAGTCGTCTGATGAGGTCACGTGGGATTTGACGCCATTCTTCTTGGACGGCCAAGATCAGTTCTTGCCGGTTGGCTGGAGAGTGTGGTCGTTGTAGAACACGACGATCCATCAAGTGCCAGAGGTGTTCTATGGGGGACATGTCGGGTGAACGTGCAGGCCACGGCATGTCGTTTGACGTTGTTGGCTGCGAGGAAGTTAGTGACAGTTCTGGCTGTATGGGCTCTAGCGTTGTCATGCTGATAAATGACACCACGTGGCTGCTGTTGGAGAAATGGTAGGACAACTGGACGAAGAATGTTATCCATGTAACGCTGAGCTGTCAAGTTTCCATCAACGATGACCAGCGGTGTCCTCTCCTGCCCACAGATCCCTCCCCACACCATGACACTCCCTCCATCATATGGTACGACCTCCTGCACGCAACACGCCGCCGTTCGTTCAAGCCTTCGGCGGTAAACACGTTGTCTTCCATCAGCCCTAAACATACAGAATAGACTTTCGTCAGTGAAGATAACCCTCTGCCAGTCACGTCGTTGCCAACGTCGAACAGTCCGGGCCCATCTCAATTGCAGACGACAATGTTGCGCTGTCAATAGCTGTCCTCTGTATGGTCTAAAAGCCCTGATTCCATGAGCCCTGAGTCTCCTGGCAACTGTCTGTCGACTAACCCTGTGACCTGAGGCATTTGTCGCCGATGACGTCACTGTCAGGAAGCGATTTCGGAGGTGAAAGGTACGCAAGTACCGGTCATCATGGGGCGTGGTCACCCTGGGTCTGCCTGTTATTGGCCTGTCAGCGGTCCGCCCAACACGAGAGCAACCGAAGGTTCGTGCAATATGGGCGTGGGTGGCTCCCATCTGTACCATACCCAAGGCTCGTTCACGTTGTTCGACTGTGAGTCGTGGCATTTCTTTTGTGTTTTTTTTCTCACTGTGGATGTCTGACTTGCCGTTGCCGTTGTCTGACTTACCCAAACGTGCATTTGCAGTTGTCCGTGGTGCACGTGTTTTTCACTTTTTCGCGTGTTATCTCGCAAACATGTAACAGACGACTTACATTTTCTGCATATACTATTGTTGTATTTGGATAGACTTCATCGAAAAGAAATTATACTTTGTCTGAAATTTATATTTTCAGTTGGTAAAGTTTCTTTTGGACGTCAGTTTATCTTAATTATGAGCAAAACAATAAGACACTCGCCCCAATATCGCACTAAAAAGGTCCGAGCTGGTGCAGGTTTTAGACTTTGACAATTCTGGTGAAACCGACGAGCATGGGTATGGTGCCGTTAGTCCTAAAACACAATCAGGGAGAATAGGGATTCGAATCATTCAGATCATAGGTTTTAGGCACATCGTAAAGTACACATGTCTGCACAGTGAACTTCGGCGCATTGGACGACCAGACCACCAGTGCGCCCGAAAAGTAGAGATTTGATGGAAGTGATGGTCAATTGTTATGACTTACTAAGTGAATGAATGTTGCTTCATGACGCAGTCTTAAATATTACAACTTGACTTGCAAGTATCTGAATCTGGGCCAGACAAATGGTTTATAGCATGAGCAAAGACCGACGTAAAACTACAGAGTTGACCATGTGACACATAGTAACGTCAAATTCCTCATTTTGACGAACAAGGAATACTGGCCCAGACCTATACTGACTTAGTTTTTTTTATTACTTATCGTTGTACTCACAGGATGAAAGTCTCTTTCAGCCTTATATTAATATACAGAAACTATAATATATAAAAGACGTGCATCACTAATTCGGCCCGTGAAGATCCGGGGTAGAATAGGTCTAAAGGTCTAAAACAATGCGAGTGATTTCCTTGACTTATACGTGGTATTGTTGATAAATAATGTCTTTGTAATTTTCCATAACGATCTATTGTGTGAGTTTTACTCACCCAAAATGCGCTTTCAGAATGCCCAGTGAATTCCTGGCTCACAATCAACTGTTTCATAAACCTGTCCGTGCATAAGTTGAACAAGGGAGGTAGTTCTATGGATATACAGCTTCCCTATTACAACGAATACTAACACCGTTATCACGCAATTGTATATAAATAGTCAATGCAAGAGAATAAACATGAGGAAGAGAATATATGGATGTCAACTTCTTATTACATGTATGTTCCTCATAATAAAGAAGTTGACATCCATATATTCTCTTCCTTATGTGTATCACTTCTGAATGCCTTTCAAAGACCTGAAGAGAATAACCAGTCTAGATTATCCGTGGAACAGATTCCATTTTGGCATAAATGGCAAAATAGCTGTGAAAATGATAATTGGACCACTGAACATCAGTGATGACACCTGGTGTTGTATATGCCTTCAAAATTTCTACTGCTTCATAACGGGGATAGTATCACCACCGAAAGGTCGCATTTATTGCAATAAAGAAGTTGTATATCTATAGAACTATCTTCCTTATTCAGCATACATCTTCTAAATGCCACTTATGGTACATGTGTAGGTACCGAACATAAGTTACCTGCAATCGGAAAATGAGAAAAACTATCAATCATTATCATTCATAATAACTCCGATGGATTTAATACCCCATTTTGAAAAAATATCATTTCTTAAAAATATTCAGAAACCTACCTTGAACGCCAAGAACAGTTCCAGTCATCAGCATACAGACCAGAGTTGCCACGCCGTCGGTGGTATAAGGCGTCATGATGTCCTCTCGCAGCTGGTGACTCTGCTGCACTGTGGCACTGTTCTCTGGACTGATCGATCTTACCTTGTGTGGCGGTTTTGTTCGCATTTCGCAACACTCATAGAATACCACACACTATTTGCCCCATGTCAGCGTGTCAGTGTTTGTGCTTCATGCAATCAATGTACGGATGTAACCAATACACTGGTATTGTTTTGTTGGAGTATCATTACAGTTGAGGGGAAATGAAGTTTAAGGTATTCAAGTCGTTCTTTTACCAGCTTAACGCCGAGCGCCAGTCAGCTTAACAAAAAATGTTATGGTATGACAAGGGGATCGAGCCACCGCCCTTTCCGCTACAAGGGCTGACGCTTTCTCTTCTGTAGACTTCATGGAATCGGGAGATTATCGAGGCTGATTATTCTCTGGCGTTGACCTGATGCACAGCAAAAAAAGTGTAGGTTTCCGTCTTCCGGACACCTTCCCATTTTGGATCCGGCCCGGATACCTTCCGGAAACCTTCCCAAAAAAATGTCAAAATTTGGGGGTGCATTTTGTTCACTTAAGTGTAAAACACATAAAAAAACTATCTTGAAAATACCAAGAAATTTGAAGGTTGCTGAAGGCATCTGGTAGGTTTCCGGAAGGTATCCGGGCCGGATCCAAAATGGGAAAGTATCCGGAAGGTTTCCGGAAGACGGAAACCTACACTTTTTTTGCTGTGATGTTTAGGTTCCAACAGACCGTTATGTGATACTGCTTGTGTTTACGCAGTTGTTTCAAATATATACTAGGTGTGATGTTGGTACTTTCTAAATATTTGTTCAGCTTACTTCAGTTTCTGTAACCTGGTCTGTTGTGTCATCGTTTACTGTATATAATAGATCCATATCAAGGTTCGACTCCTCGGCGTTCAGAGCTATTACTGTGACATCGTCGGGTGCCACGATGATCCTGTCTGACGTCGTAGCATCTGTCGGCATCTGTACATTAACGGATAATGTGACCTTGGTTCTTTGTCCTGGGTCAAGAGTAAGGTCTTTGGAAGCAACTGCTGGGATAAACTTTCATTTGAACTGTTACTGGTTGTCGACGCGAGGAAGTATTGCACAGGTATATGTTTTGAATACACACTGGAAACAATGTGCTTAGAATGTAAACACATACAAGACATCTTTAGATGTTTAGGAAAGTGTCTAAAACCGAAATGGAATACAGACGTACATTTGGTGTGTTCTCCCAAAACACGTTCAGGGTCAAAACACATGAAATGAGCTCTTGTTAGCCTGAACACCACCTTGACACAATATCCCCATATCATAATCTAAGCATTTTAGAATTTAAACAAGTGCAGAATTTAAACACAGTTAAACATGTTTAGAATTTGTATATCGTTAGGTAATTAGACAAATGTAGTTAAGATGTAAACCGCCGACTAACAGAAACTTGTGACAGATACAACATTTTTACATATTTTTTTTATTCACCTTCAGTATCTGCTTTTAAGTTTTCAACTTTTATGTTAAAGATTAGTTAGATTAAATGTAGTTAATGTGTCCTTCATGTTGTAAGTCTTAACAAACCCATGGAGATTTGTAATCGCTTTACACTTAGATCATATAATATAATCTATGAATAATTATTCTATTGGGTCCTTACATCAGTTAGCAGATTATTGTACAGTATAACAACTAATATATGAATAAGATGTGTTTGTAATGTAAAACGGTTTGTAATACTGTGATGTCGATGACTGCATTATGTATATTGTTAATATTACTTATCATTCCTTTAATATGTTTTAGGGTGTAGATACTAGATACATATATGAAACATCGATTGGCAAAATAAAACGTCTCTCACCCGTAGCGTGTGTTTGCCTATCACTCATTCACTGCCCTGCTACATATTGAAAATATCAAAATCATACATCATCCGATATTGGCATGACAGTTGCTCGAATTGAGGTTGGGTAACAAGAGCAAGCTTTCAACGTGATGGACAAAGGGCACACACATCTAAAATCGCTCATTAATAGCGTGTATGACCACATTACGTAAACACTCTCCGGCGCACAGAAAAAGGCAGTCGGCTGATGACGTCGCGTGGGATACGTCGCCATTCTTGTTGGAGGGCCTGGATCAGTGCTTGTCGGTTGGCTGGAGGATATAGTCGCTGTCGAACACGACGATCCATTACATCCCAGAGGTGTTCTTTTGGGTACATGCCTGGGGACATGCAGGCCACGGCAACACGTTGACGTTGTTGGCTGCAAGGAAGTTATCGGGCTGTATGTCATGCTGATAGAGGACACCACGCGGCAGCTGTTGTAGATAGGGTAGGTCAGTTGGACTAAGAATGTCATCCATGTAATGCTGAGCTGTCCGAGTTCCGTTAACGACGACCAGTGGTGTTATCTCCTGTCCACACATTTCTGTCCACGCCACAACGCTCCCTCCGCCATACGACTCTATTCTTGCCGGCTGTGATATAACTGAAATATTACTCGTTGGCATTAAGTGGCGTTAAACCAAACTCCCCCACCCGCTCATATCCATGAGTCTCATGTACACAGTGGCGTCCCCGAGGCGCACCAGACACCCCTATGATCGATTCCGGATGTTTAAACCATCCCGTTATTACGGTACTTACCAAACAGAGATTAATATAAGAGCGACAATGTCCTTTGTAGGATTCCATAGAAATGCCTGACATTCCGCCGTTGGCTGAATTGTCTTTTCCAATGCCAAATATATTTTCGTAATTATACAAATGGGTGACTGTATTTCTTTTTTTTCCAGACCAACCCTATATCCAGATGCGTTCCATGCTTCGTCGCACAATGAAGCAACCGCTCTGATGTGACCTCGTTTTCCTGTTTTTATTAGATGAAGCTATTCGAAACAAACGAAGCAGGGTGGCACTTATCTGAGTGTCAGCTGAGAGAGGTTCGGGACGACAACATTCTGAAAATGAGTGTTTATATATCAAACGCAAAATAAACGCGTATTTGTCCCACCTTTTAAAACCCTTTTCTGTTTATTATATAAATAAGGTGTATGTTATAAACAAGTGTTTACGAACTAAACAATAGTGAATTTCTAAACAGTACTTGTGTTTACAGTGTAATCACTTAACTCTGTTTTACCAATGTCTCCCCACTTTAAGCGCAAGAGCGTGTTTACATTGCTACTTGTGTTTAGGAATTAAACATCTGACGATTAAACACAAGTAAACAAGAGCTGTCAAAGTAGATGTAAATGTGTGTACATCTGATGTCCGTGAACTGCAGTCTACAGAGGTCTAGTTCATGTATTATACAGATTGTTTGAGGTGAGGTGAAATTGGGTTTAACGTCGCGTCCAAGATTATAGCACTTATATAGCGCGTGTGTGTGGCTGCTTGTACTAGTCCGGACTGATGCCGATTTATAGTGCTAGCTCACTGAGATACCATGACGCAGTTTAACATCAATGCCTCACTCAGACACAGTATACTGACTCCGAGCCGACCAGTTCTTGGTTTAGCCTTTTAATGCCCAGCGCCAGACAGGGTAACAACAAGTACCATCTTTTAACGTCTTTGGTCTTTTGGATCGAACCCGGACGCTCTATCATTAGACCACTGAGGCGGTGATTATGCCTGAACAGGAATGATTAGATGTTATCACTAGAGGCTAGTACCTACCCCTGGTGCTTCGTTGTTGCTGAAAACAATGATTGAATGAGGATGGTTTTACGCCGATTTTAGCAATATCACGGCGGGGGACACCAGAAATGGGCTTCACACATTGTACCCATGTCGGGATTCGGACCCGGGTCTTCGGCGTGACGAACGAGCGCTGTTGGCTACCCGACCGCCCCTGATGTAAACAATGCTTATAAAATTGTGTAAAGAAATACTGGAAAGCAAAGGTTTGCAATAGTGAAATGAGGAATAATATAATCACACTAAAGGTTGACAACACAAAGTAGATGTTAAGTAAGTAAAGAGTTTTATTGTTGATAATTATACCATGTTATATAACTCATGACTACTACAAACATGGGTGACACAAACTCCTCTATTCACAAAGAAATTTAACTGTTGGAATAATATCATTATTGTGACAATAGGAATTGTGTATCGCATAGTCATACTTTACGCCCTGAATAGCAGAACTAAAACACACAATATTGAACAATCAATATAACTCTAAACGCTGTCAGTCAATCAAAGCCCGATATCACAAGACACTGAATGCAATGGGCTTTACAACTTCTGTTCCTCAGGCAACAAATTTGTCAAAATGTGAGCAAACTGCACATACATTTTGGATTTCTGTTCAGTGAACACTTTACCAAAACCAATTGCTGTAAGAGGCCAAGAATCTGAGAATAATGTCTTAAATTGGATTTGATATCCAAGCAATACAGTACATTGCCAGCAAATGAAGCGCTGACTTTCTGAATGTTAGACAAGAAGAGAGGTTTACACTATCAGCTTTGACAACTGTATGGGTATTTAAATCATAATTGACGAACACCATCAGACTTGGCGAATGTTCGTTGGAAACCTTTTGTACAGCCTTGTCTACTTCGTCAGGTGAGAAATCCTAAAAAAAACAATTTAACAACCCCAGTTAAACCGATTTGCATTGTTTTAATTGTTTAAATATATAAAATACTAATAGAACTTTGCTTCTCATTTAATACGACCTTAAACATGAGGGGGCACGGGTGGCCCAGTCGTCTGAATTCGATGTGCAGAGTTGCGTCCCTTAGCACATGGGTTCGAATCTCAGTCCGCCAGAATCTCAGAATCTCAGTATGTTTCTGGGTTTGTCGGCACCGTGAGGCTCATGGTTTTCCTCCCCACACATTATGTCGTAATGTAACTTTGTTCAAAGTGGAGTTGAACTCAACTAACTCACTTACATATGATTTGAACTGGTCACATGCCGGACAACAAATGGAGTTTTTTACTTGGTGAGTGAGTGAGTTGGGTTTATAACACGGCGTGTCAGCTTAATGTGGGAGGAAAGCCCCAAGTGATGCAGGTCTCCGACGTTTACCACTTCGGTGAAACCCACGAGCACGGGTATGGTGCTGACAAACCTAGAAACATAGTTGAGGCGAACCGTGGCTCGAACCCACAATCATACTATTAGGTTTCTGGCGTGCCCAAGGAACGCAACTCTGCACAGCGAATCGCGGCGCCTTAGACGACTGGGCCATCCGTCTGCCCCTTACTTGGTGACATACGCGGTGGAC